AAAAAAAAAAAAAGATTTTATTTACTTATTTGAGAAAGAGCATGAGAGGAGAGAGGGAGAAGCAAAGCAGGGAGCCCAATGTGGGGCTCGATCCCAGGACCCCGAGATCATCACCTGAGTTGAAGGGAAAGGCTTAAGTGACTGAGCCACCCAAGCGCCCCAGCATTGTATACATTTAAATAAATACTGGAAGGGGGAAACTTACATTAGATGATGGGATTATGGTTACCATTTTTAAATTTTACTCAAGGATCTTATAATTATGTCCTTATAAATAAAACTCAGGAAAGGGTAGACTATTGTATGTGTACACATGTACATGTGTGTATGTTTACATATCTATGTATCTTTAATGATAAATAGTAATCAGTAACTTCCACAAAAAGGCACTCAAATGGATAATCTTATTTCAAAAGGATGGCATAGTTCTAGTCTTAACTAAAAGTTAGAATTTCAAATCTATCACTCAATTAACTAAGACCAATTACAAAAAAATCTTACCATTTCAGTGATGAACTCTATGACAAGGTCTTCAAGAATATCCACTGACTCAGTATAAGGATTCTGGTCATCCCCAAACCCATACATCATACATCGCACTGTAAAAGAACAATCGTTTTTGTTTACCTGAACAAATTTAACAATTTTACCAATACTTTTTTCAAATTAGAAATGGACTAAGATAGAGAAGATACTTGTATAAACGTATTTACATTGTGCCTACAAGCACGGACTTAAGTGTAAAAGATTTTAACCACAATCTCATAACCAACTAACTGTTCCTAACTGTCCTTCCCTAGTAGGAACTCCTGTTCCCTCCCAGCTACTGAACCCTGACATCAATATTCTTTCCCTAACCTCTATTACCTATTTACCCACAACCCTGGAATAACCTGAAGTAGGAAATGCCATGGCAGTGACAGGATGAGTAGCAATGGCTCAGCCCTTACTGGGAGTGTTCTGTGCGTATATGGTCTGGGGTTAGGGGAGGGCAGTGGTGCATTGGAAAAGAGAAGGCAAAATCCTTTCTGATACTAACAGAGGGAAAAGGACATGAGAGAAATTGCTCCAATTACATCTTATATGAAGAACAGGGTAATCAAATGGAGAAAGTAAACTATGTAGAATCTTGATATTTCATTTCCTAGATCAATGAATGCACTGCTAACAAAGTCCTTTCAGGCTTCATCTGAAAGAACCATAGAAAATGCAGAAGAGAAAAAAAACTCTAATACAGAGTAATAAAAATAAAACTCATTTAATCCTCACAACAATCCTTTGAAGTAGATACTATTATTATCCCTATTCCATTTAGGTAAGAAAACTGAGGCACTGAGCTAAGTGATTTACCCAAGGTCACACAAATAGTAAGAGATGGAGTCCACGTTTGAACGCAGGTGATCTGGCTCCAGAGTCTATATTCCTATTCTCAACAGTATTACACTTCTTGGTAGTTTAAGGCAGATGGGATCCATATGGATTATCATCCTATAGGCTATAAACCCCCAGTTAGTCTATGGACAGGCTTTGAGAAACCCTTGAACCCTTCTGAAATTATATGTAAAAATTTTATATATTATTTGTGTGTGTGCACTGTTCTGCAAAGAATAATCAACTCTTACCAGATTCTGAAAGTGGTATATAAATGTTAAAAAAAAAAAACCTATCATAGGTTGGAAATATTTTGTATCTGAGTGGTGGTTTTAAGTATATGTAAATACATAAAATTCATCAAGCTGTTCATTTAAGACTAGTACAATTTAAGTACAGTAAAAACAAAACAAAACAAAAAACCCTAGAACACTTTTAAAGGAAGAAATAAGTACATTAAGAATAATTCCTATTGGGACGCCTGGGTGGCTCAGTCGGTTAAGCGTCTGCCTTCGGCTCAGGTCATGATCCCAGGGTCCTGGGATCGAGTCCCGCATCGGGCTCCCTGCTCCGCGGGGAGCCTGCTTCTCCCTCTGCCTCTGTCTCTCTCTCTGTCTCTCATGAATAAATAAACAAAATCTTTAAAAAAAAAAAAATAATAATTCCTATTTAGGAGAAGCAAAAGTTGGTCGAACTGAAAGAATTAGGTACACCAGGCCTAGGGAGGAAAAGAAAGGGGTGATCTGGAAGTCAGGCTGGGATAGAGGTATCCCTAGGGTTTAAACTGGCAAGAGCCTTTAGGTCCAGATACAGGGGGTACAAAACAAACACAAGAGCCAATATTTTTTCTCCCTTTTGGATTCTGACAACTTTTTTGCCTTTTCTTTTTTGAGATAATTTCAGACTTACAAAAGAGTTGCAAAAATAGTACAGAGCTCCCAAATACCCTATATCCACCATCCCCTGATGTTAACATCTTATGGAGCCACAGACATTTATCAAAATGAAGAAATTAACACTGATACAAGTACAGAACTTACTCAGATTGTACCAGTTTTTCAACTAATGTCCTTTTTCTATTTCAGGATCCCACACTATTTAGTTATCATGCCTCCTTACTTTCCACTGAGCAGTGACAGTTCCTCAGACTTTTCTCCTCTTTCATGACTATGACACTTTGGAAGGACACTGGTTAGTGATCTTGTAGAATGTTCTCCAATTTGGGTTTGTCTGGTGTTTTCTCATGATTAGACTGTGGTTACACATTACTAGAAAGGGTACCATAGAGGTGATGCGCCCTCTTAATGCATCATATCGGAGGTACGTGATGTTAATATGTATTACTGATGAACTGACTTTGATCATTTGGCTCACACTTTAATTTTTTTTTTAAGATTTTTTATTTATTTATTTGACAGAGAGAGACACAGTGAGAGAGGGAACACAAGCAGGGGGAGTGGGAGAGGGAGAAGCAGGCTTCCCGCTGAGCAGGGAGCCCGATGCGGGGCCCAATCCCAGGACCCTGGGATCATGACCTGAGCCGAAGGCAGACGCTTAACGACTGAGCCACCCAGGCGCCCCTGGCTAACACTTTAGACATTACTTGTCTGCCAGGATTTTCCATTGTAAGCTTACTATTCTTCCTTAAAAATTTGAGTAAGATACTTTGTCATTAACATTGTGATGGGCATAATTCACTAGTATGTATGTAAACTGCATTTGATTTGTAAAGACACAAATGCCAATGAATGCTTTGAAACATTGTGTTATAGTAGCAAAAATTTTTTTAAAAAGAAGGTTTAGGAGAACAGAGCTTGGCCATTAAGGTATATCAAGATTCAGGTAAGACAAGGAGAAGGCTGTGAAGATTCCAAATTCTTATTATCACAAAAATAAAGCAATCCAAGTAGAACAAAGGTTTCTGCTTAGAACTGACAATGCAAACATCACTCTGGGATGCTCTGGTGTGGAAATCCCCTTCTTAGGCTGATATAAGAAGTAAAAAAACAAATGGAGTAAACAGTATCAGAGATGGATTAAGGAGTGGTCAGCTTTAGGTGAGAAACTGAGATATGGAGGATTTGAGTCGTTAAAAAATATATATATATAAAGCCCTACTGACTGCAGTTTCAAGAGCATTTGGGAACCACTTGTTTGACCCAGCATAAATAAACCAT